GTCCTGGAACTACATTCACTCCAAAATGGATGAATCAGTCTTTTCCACTGCGTGTATTTCAATACCTACTTCAGTTTTTATCTCAGTTCTAGGCTCAGTTTAGTCACACCTAAGGGTGGCAGAGATGACAACATGGAATAGACAAAATGAACCAGCACAATAGTGCCTCATTTAAAATAGGCTATGAAAAACTATGAGTACAACATCCTAATGTGCTTGATGAACATCTCATTCCAAAACAATGGGCATTAACATTAGGGATGCACAGTTACATTGGAATGTTGTTGGTATCGGCAGATGTTTCCTAAAAAAATTATCGTCTTCAGACAGGTGTTTAGATTTGACCGATATCTTAGACTGATATTTGATGATGTATTTATTGTACCCCTATGAAGCAGAAGGCTTAGCTGATACTGGGCTACTGTGCTAAAATATCTGCATTTGTACACTACTCTGCAATTGTACCCTACAGAAATAAATGTTTTTCTGTTTCGCTAATCCAAGCAGATAAAGCACCAATTTATACATTTTATAAATGTCTATGTATCGGTATTGCCATCGGCAGATGTGCAATGAAAAATGTCGGCTTTAGCCCATAATTCCCATATCATCCCAAAGGTGTTGGATGAGGTTGAGATCAGGACTCTGTGCAGGCCGGTCAAGTTCATCCATGTTTATGGTGTTTTCATGCTGAAACAGAAAAATTGTTTCTCTAAACTGTCGCCACAAATGTAGAAGCACTCGATTCCCTGAAATATGATTGTGTGCTTTAGCACTAACATTTTGCTTCAATGGATCTGAACTCCAGCCCAAATTATGAAAAACAGCCCCAGACCATTATTCCTCCTCTACCAAACTTTATGGTTGGCACTGTGCATTTGGGAAGATAGCATTTTCCTGGCTTCTGCCAAATCCAGATTCATCCATGAGATACTGATTCATCACTCCAGAGAATGTGTTTCTGCTCCATGATGGTGTGCTTTACACCTCCGCAGCTGATGCCTGGCATTGCGCATAGTGATCTTAAGCTTGTGCGTGGCTGCTCGGCTGCTGTGTTCACATGGAAGTCCGATCCACGAAGCCGCCAACCAACAGTAATTGTGCTCACATTGCTTCTAAAGGCGATGTGAGTAATGCAAATGAAGACAGATGATTTTTTACATGCTATGCACTTCAGCACTCACCAGTTCTGCTGTGTTAGCTTGTGTGGCCTACTGCTTTAACCACTGAGCTTTTGTTTCCACTTCAGAATGATCGCACTGACAGTGGATTAGGGCATAAATTTAACAAACTGACATGTCGGAAAAGTGGCATCTTATGACAGTCAGTGTTTGTCTGTGGAGATGTATGCTTGATTTTATGCACTTGTTTGAAATTGGTGGGCTAATTAGAAGGGATATCCACATTCTTTTGGCCATACACAAAAAAGCAGCATATAACAGCATATAAATACAATCCAGCGTCCTGAATGCTAAATCATGTGCTGAAACATATGCGGAAATACACGGTTCGAAGTCTGTTTATTCTTAGGTCTAATTTCAAAACTGCACAAATGTGTGTTCGTTTTTGTCTTCGGTTTAGGTTGCTGTTTGGTTTGGCTGAGGCCCGGAGCTGCACACATAAAAGAAACTGGCAGTGCTGTGTTGGGATCTGTGTAGCTTTTAACACAAAGTGAGTCAGATCAGTGGAGACAGAGTGGAGGACTGATCCTGGATCAGGGCCCCGTGTTCCGAGTTGTACCTTACAGGCATGGCTGGGGTTATTTTTATTACAGGGAGGTTGAATAAGCTGTAGCACAACAAGCTGATTCAGAGAACATTGTCCTTAGCGGCATAGCAGAAAAACGCAACGTTCCGGGCAAAATATTCAGCTCAGCGCTCTCTTATTTACATTTGTGCTGTGTCATGAGAAGGGGGGTGGAGAGAGAGATGGAGTGGAGTAGTGCGAAGGCTGGATAAATGTGAGAGAGAAAGAGATGCGAGAGAAGAACATTCTGACAGAAAGGTAGAAAAAAGGGGGAGAAATCGATGGGCAGAGAAAGAGTCATCATTCTGAGAACAGCGTTCTCCCTAGCATTTCTACATGAGAAGCTCTGCCCCACAGCTAAAAGCTCACTGCAGCTTGGCACACAAAGTTTTAGTACCGCAGGAACTGGGGGTGCAGCACAAGTCACGATTTTTCAGATAGTTGAAAGTGAACAATGAAATTTATGCAGTTTTACCCCCTTATCTCAAATGTAGAAGATCAGCCAAGACATGTTTGGTATCTGAAGTTTGCTTCTGTAGATTTGGACTGAAGCTACGAGTCTCACTAATAATGAAAGCTCCATTACCAATTAGCATTGTTCAAACTGCATGCGTAGAGTTGTTAAGTAAAGAACTAAAATAGACTTGATTTCTCACACTATGACATTGTTATTTGTAAAAATAGACAAACACACACATAGAAATTCTGTCTTTAAGATGGCTGCTGGTACAGTTTTTAGGTCTGCAATGTGACTTAAATCATGGCTGCCAGCTCTCACACATTGGCTGCAAGACTCATGCAGTTCAGTCTAATCTCAAGCTCTCACACCACACTCAACACTTCATACACATTATTACTAAATGACCGAGGAATCCGAACGCTCAGAAATTTGTATGTTTAGTGCTGTAGCTTTCACTGATTAAACACACTCTGGACTGGCAGTAAGGGTTTAGTTGAATACAGGAGGAAGAAAAAGCTAGTTTTGTTGCTCTGCGTGTTTTTTGTTCACTGGGGATGGGACCGATATCCAACAACAGTAAACCAACTCACTCAGTGACACACAGTGCGCTCGTGTGTCAGTAAGTAGAGAAAACCTTCACTAAACACATGACAAATGGATGATAACTGAAGGAAATGAAAAGGTAAATGACATGACTTAGTAAACTAAACTTAATCAATAACGAGCAGCATTCATTACTATACATAGCAGTGCAGTTTGTGCTGCAAAAGGAACCCTATTTTGTCTTACAAGCTAAACAACAGAACAATAAAGCAATCAAAGCAGACTATTTCACCCATTTTCACTGTGTAGCTTTTAGCTTTGTAATCCACACCTTTTAAGTGCCACCAGGTGAAGAATTTGACTATACGACACTCAGCAGCAACACCAGGACTGGCTCCATCACTGGTTCCTATTAACTAACTCTTTTTATTCTATGTTCTCTGTAATTGGACTCTATTCTGCCGTCATTAGAGCAGGTTGACCAGTTCAGACTATCAATGCTGAACTTAGCAGCGTTCAGTCTGTGCTGCTCCGAAGGCTTAAATTTTGTCACTCTTCATCAACTCACTTAATGCAACAACATATTATTTTATGGGTAAATTAAGCAAAACTTGAAATGCATTAAATATTAAATTATATATTGTATTTTAAAATATAATTATTGGTTTTATATTAATTTTATATATGTAGTTGTGTTATGGAAACAGATCACTTTCTGAAGAACAGCTCCAGTGATGGAAGCAGACATTCACCACACTCTAAGTGCTGCTATACTAAACAGAATGTGTCACAGTTTGAGTGCCGATAAACGTCAAGTTCATTTTTTGCACTCCACCCTGACAGCTGTACTGAAATAAAACTTTCTGCATAATTTGTCACATTTTGTATCAGTTTATTACCTCTTCACAGTCTCACTACTTTCGACCTGAAAGATTGGAGATGAAAAAACTAGTCTAGTAGCGTTAGCTGAGGTTAGTATTTGTCTGTTTATGTAAAAGACTGACTGTGTAAATTTCAAGCCTCATGTCATCTCGGATGGCATTCTGTGGTCTCGATATAGCTTTAATTTAATGTAGTAAGGACAAAATGCTGGAACTAAAACAGTGCTCGGAGTCGCCGAGTGCTGGGACGAAGTGTTGCTGAATGTCAGCACCAGTGTGTGTGCCTTCATTAAAACCAGTGGTTTCAAATTTTTGGACGCTCTGCAGCATGTCCGGTGTGCTGTGGCCTTCAGAAAGCTAGATATGAGGCAGCCTTGGCACTATTCCTGATTCAGACCTTTCATCCTGCCTGATGTATTGAACACATATTTACGCCTATTTACTTAACCCAACCCTGCAGGATATTGGACCAAAATGATATTGTTTTGTGTGTGTGTTTGTGTGTGCAGGTCCTTACGCATACCAATGCTTGACTCTGTGTGCTTCCTGTACAAATCAGCTCCTGATTGGTTTCCTGCTGGTTAGCTTTGATTAGGCCAGATTTGCATTGTCTTTCTCTTTTTTCTGAAAATTGCTATTGAATTACTGCATATTGCAGTTATGCTAAAACTTACCCACCAAAATGTTTTTATATCCTCTGATTTTGGTTCAAATTGTGGCTCATTAGCTTAAAATAATGAAAAACAGTGTATTTTCACAATACTTTGATTTAGTAGTTCAAAATAATGGCTAATAACCAAAGAATGTGTTATCACTCTTTAAGAAACTGTATGACTATTTTGACGTCATTATTTTGTAAAAAAATTTCAAAACATTTTTCAAATCATTTTGAAATTATAAATGAAAACTGAGACTGTATGTAATTATTTTGACTTTCTTTATTTTCAAATTATATTATATTCGAATTATTTTGACATTTTTGATAGTTATCTTGTAAGTCACCATGAACCCACATCAACAGGAGCTCTCAAATGCATGTGTTTGCAGTAACAGCTCCTAAAATGAGAGGTGAAATGGTTCTCCACAAATGTTGTTAGTATTACATTATTTATAATGATAATTACATTAAAGATTTTCATTAAATCAGTTAATGTTAAAAAAGCAAGCAAGCTAAGTGTAGAATAAGCTGATGTGCACTGTGTGTGTATGTGTGTTTGTGGGATAGGAGGGCATCATAATAATGTGTTTGTGTGCTGTTGCGTCACCTTTGTGTGTGACAGCAGGGACAGGAGCATTTCAGTTTTCTTCTTATTTCTTTAGGTGTTTTTGCTTTCTCACTCTGAATCCTTGTTATTTGTTTGTTTACTCAGGACTTTCTGACTGATCTGATGATGTCTGAGGTGGATCGTTGTGGGGAGAACGAGCACTTGATCTTTCGAGAGAACACACTGGGCACCAAGGCCATTGAGGAGTACCTCAAACTTGTGGGCCAGAAATATCTTCAGGATGCACTGGGTAAGAGTTCTAAAGCATGTTTGTTTGTAATGACTGATTTTAGGCCTTCTCAGTTATTTAATTAAAATAACCAACAGTAGAATTGGCGAAACTAGTTAGCTAAATGGCTAATATGTTTTTATTGATTTTGTGGTGCATTAAATATCATATCATTTTGAAAAAAAAAAAAACAAACTAACAGGATACTGTAATAATTTTTGCTATGTAAGCATAAATCATTTTGAGTGTGTGCTGTGATGGCATATTTATTTATTCATTGAGTCTAATTTCATTCATAAGTTTCGATTAATGTGACCAAGGACCAGTCCAAATTTGATTCAGAGATTTGCACATTTAAAGAAACTTAAGCTTATAGTGTACAAAGTGAATTATTATTGTTTTCCATTTAGAAAAGCCAAACAACCCCCCATTCCAACCCCAACCTACACCAACATGGGACTTATCAACAGCAACTGACCATATTGCTCCACAGGAAACATGAAAATTCTCAACCTAAACGCATCATACATCTAAACAAACAAAAGGGACTTGACTTTGGATATTCCATGATTCCATGTATGAAGAGTTCTAGGAGCTGCAATGCTAATCTTGAGAACAATAGTTCCAGATAGAGGATGTCCAATAATGTATGGAGCCAGTGAAGCATAGACCGGGGTAGTCAGTGCTGGATGATGACTTTTTTTACTGCAGTTAGTCAGCCAGCCATATTTTCCAGGATCTTTCCATGGTGAAGAATCTTGACTCATCATTAAGCAAATAAAGTTCAGAGTCCATAAGGAAGTGTGTCTTAGTCAAAGAAGAGATAAACTTTTGGTCAGTCCCACATAATATGCATAAAAGTCCCCAGGATGCCATTCGGAGAGGAAGTAGAATAGCGGTGAGGACTTACGAAATGTCTTAACCTTGGTGTCAGATAAGTTCTGTGGCAGATTTTCAGATGGATGAATTGATGACATTTGGGCGTGCCAAAGGCCACAGTGTGAAGGAAGTAGCTGAATTTGCAGGTGCATTGAAGCGTACAGTCATACGGGTCTACCAGCAGTGGCACAAATCCTTATGTTTACCTTAACAACCTCAAAACAAAGTGAGGTGAAATACTGTTATTTAATATTATTAAATATGTGCTTTTAATTAAACATTTTCATATGTTCAAAAGGCAATGTTATCAATAATCCTGATTTTTTTAACAAGAAAATGTTATGCTGAATTTTTTAAGAATGTCCAGGCCTGGAAAGTAGAAAATCATACGCTGGCATATTTACAATTGCAAAGTAATTGGAAATGGAATGGGCCCATTTTGTAAATCAGATGTCCAGTAGTCTGTTCAGTACAAATAACATGAGATGATTGTAGGCACAGAAACATTGCCAATTAAGGTTCATTTGGTACTGTATTGCCTGATGGTCTTTAGATAAGGCTGAATACACATGCACACACACTGTGCAGGCCTCTATTTATTGTTGGCTTTCACTCTCCGATAAGCCCTGTATGAATTAATGTATTTGCAGTCCAGAAACCTAAAAATGCCCTTACTGGCTGTTTATCTGCAAAGAAAAATATGTCTATGAATTTCACACTATTTATATCAGCACTGGGGGATCTAATAACTGTGTGTGTGTGTGTGTGTGTGTGTGTGTGTATGTGTGTGTGTGTGTGTGAGTGAAAAATGTGGTTGAGGCAGTGTATATTTCTCTGTTTAGGTTTGCATTAGGAATGCATATGGCAGTGCTGAATAATGGATAGTTGTTTTTCAGATTAATGTGAGTTGGGAAACGCTGTTACATTATTAAACAACTCACTCCTCAAGATTGACTGAGTCTCATGGAAAGGATGAAGAAAGGACAGGACATGGACCTGTTTTTATGTGTGTGTGTGTGTGTGTGTGTGTTTGTTTGTCCTCTGATGACATGAGAGAGCATTTTATGCTTGGTTAATCAAAACAATGAATGAGACAGACAGCAAGATTAGAATGATCAGTGCCAGCCACAATAGGGCATGGGCTATGTAGCACTCAGCCATACAGCTAGGACACCCACACTGCTGTTTTTTTAAATAGGGTTATATAAGGGTAAGTCTTGTCCTCGTAGAGCAGGGGTGCACACTTCCGGTCCTGGAGGGCCAGTGTCCAGTAGAGTTTGGTGATTTACCTATTCAGAAACACCTGATTACACTCATCTGTTAATTGCCAGGTTTAGTGAGAGTGTTTGAATAGGGAAACTTCCAACCTATGCTGGACACCAGCTCTCCAGGGCCAGAGCTGTGCACTCCTGTTGTAGAGTGTAACTGTTATCACCTATCGCTTTACATAATCGCTTTACATACACAATACGTAGTCTCTGGAGTGAGTCCAAGTTATGTCTAGAGTCTCTGGAGTGTGGGACTGTCATGTGGTCTCTGGTGTGTGAGTCCAAGTTATGTCTAGAGTCTCTGGAGTGTGGGACTGTCATGTGGTCTCTGGTGTGTGAGTCCAAGTTATGTCCAGAGTCTCTGGAGTGTGGGACTGTCATGTAGTCTCTGGTGTGTGAGTCCAAGTTATGTCTAGAGTCTCTGGAGTGTGGGACTATAATGTAGTCTCTGGTGTGTGAGTCCAAGTTATGTCCAGAGTCTCTGGAGTGTGGGACTATAATGTAGTCTCTGGTGTGTGAGTCCAAGTTATGTCCAGAGTCTCTGGAGTGTGGGACTATAATGTAGTCTCTGGTGTGTGAGTCCAAGTTATGTCCAGAGTCTCTGGAGTGTGGGACTATAATGTAGTCTCTGGTGTGTGAGTCCAAGTTATGTCCAGAGTCTCTGGAGTGCGGGACTGTCATGTAGTCTCTGGGATGTGAGTCCGAGTCATGTCTTGAGTCTCTGGTGTGTAAGTTTGAGTTGTGTTTTGAGACTCTAGGATCTGAGTCGTGTCTCAAGTCTCTGGGAAGCAAGTTTGACTTGTTTCTCAAGTTTTTGCGGTCTGAGTCATTTCAGTCTCTAGTGTGCAAGTCTGTCATGTCTCTGGGGTCTAGCTCACACAGTAAGTCATCCATTTACACACAGTATCATCCATTTACACAGTTTTAAAGAAATATGATCTGTAACCTACTAAAACTTTAGAAAGATTAGTTGACAACTTCAGCTATAATAGCTAGTGCGTTAGCCAGTGTACCTGCTACCCAAACCACGAGCTAGCTAATAATTTCTAGTTGTTTTGCCCTTACATTTTTTATACTAGTGCTCAAAAGATCCGTTTGTGACCGATACCAGTTGCGCAAGTCACTAAATGCTCCAATAGTTGGTGGACTCTCAGTAGTAGGGATGCATGATCATAATCATATTGGTATCTGCAGACTGATATTTGATGAAGTGTTAATCGTATTCTGGAACAGCAGAATGTTTAAGCGATGCCCGGATGCTGTGCTAAATGTCTGCATTTTATTCATTATACTGCATTTGTAAGCCTATGGAAATAAGTATTTCTCCGTAATTGTCATTCAGGGTAGACGTAGTCCCAGTTTCTACATTTTGTAAATCTTTATGTATTCACATCTGCAGATAATGTACGTGAAAAGTACCAGATATTGGCACTACCCCAAAATTCCCATATCGGTGTATCCCAGCTTAAGAGTTTTTATTAAAGCTGCAGTAGGTGACACATAAAAAAAATAAAAAATAAATAATGTCCTGACAGTCGTACATGAGACAGATAATTTGTGAAAAAATCAGGCTCCTCTGGTTCCACCTAGTGCTTCGAATGCCATTTGGAAGAATCCACTACCCCCAAATCAAAACAACCAATCAGAGCCAGGAGGAGAGTCTGAGTGTCAATCACTGCTCATGCAAATGCTGTTGGGGGGTACCCCCTCCCCCGTGCACCGTCTCAGGAAATGCAAACGCATTGGTGGATTAAACAACCACCAGCAAGTAAAAAACTTCCCATCCCTTTATTACCAACACTAGCATACATGACAAAGACAAGTAAACAGAAGAAGACAAATGAGGAAAAGCAAGCTAAAAAGGACAATTTAGAAAGAGCCCAAGACTCCTGCTTGATTTATGTTTTATTTTTTGATTTTTGAAACAAATTAACCACAAAGCTGAGATGGCAGTGGTTACGGTTGTGCATATATCTTATGACTGTAATTTTACAGTTGGGCTATTGGCACTATTCATGACAGTTCCTGTTATCAAACAAACATCTAGGCACTGAAATAAGTGTGTGCTATTGCCATCATAGACATATATGGTTGCCTGTGCATGCACAGGTGCCTCCTCTGCAGCGTGGGGCTTTGAAGGCAGGGCTGGAGCACAGTGGAGAGGGAGAGACTCATTGTACTTATTCAAATTTTCAAGCTAAGACCACTCTCTTCTCAGTACTACCTACTGCAACTTTAAATAGTGCTTTTAAAGGCTGATATGATTGTCGGCTGTGAGTCGTGGTGGTGTTTAGCCGTTCAGCTTGTATTGCTGTAATGGGAAGTGAGCAGGTGGTAACTGTCAGCTTAGCAGTTTCTACAAAAACTGAGCTGGCATATGAGCATGAAAAAAAGCATTAGGTCCTTGGAAGTGAACAGTTTACCTCACATAGCATGTTTATTTGTCACAGTATAAAACAAACCACTAAATATCAGTGTTTTGTTTTAGCTGACTGTTAAAAAATGCCCATATGTAGCTGCTCATACCTAAAGGAGGCAGAAGCTGCTACGCATAGGCATTTTTAACGGTGCAGCTAGGTTATGTTAATACAATAAGGACTCCTTAATTTAAGCAGTCCCTTGGTTTACAGAGCTGTTTTGGGACAATGTTAAAAAATGCATTATAAAACTGATAGTTTTGGTCCTAAAATCTGATTGGCTGAGCCACGTTTGAAGCCGTTACACGATATACACACACCTACGACCGCCTCACAACAACTGAACTCTGTATTACTGCGCCACGTCTCGAAAAATCCTTGTGCTGTTCATGGAGTAATCTTTGACTGTAATGCTGCTCGCATGGACCACCGAGTGTTTTCATAAAGTAAGAACCCATTTTTTGTTTAAATTGAGGGGCTGGCAACTTATGTTCTTAACTAGAACTAGGCTGGTCAGCTAGCCAACAGGCTAAAAGACAGTTAACAGGCTAAACAACTCCATCATTAATATCACAGCCTTAAATTAAAGTACTTCACGATACGATTCACTGTAAAACAGCAATATAAAAGTCTAAAGAATGTCACTTTGAATGGCTTGACCTACATGCTTTAAATGTCTCTGTTCCAGTCAGAAGTAGCGTTAAACCCAGGCTGAATCCCAAACACCTTTGTACTCCCTTAATAGTGTGCTAGCTATGAAAGTTTAGAAATTTTAGCCTCAACAGGGCCCTATTTGTTGAGTATGGATGTGGCTGAATCCAAGATGACTGTTTTTGGCTATATTGTTCACTGTTGGGGTGCAGGATCCACCATTTAAATTGCTTCGCAATACACTATGTAGGGAGCAGGAAGCCATTTGAGATTCAGCCCTAGCGTGAGAAGAGGGGTGCCGCTGGATTGGTGCTATATAAGACTCGTGGTGGTTATTTGGTGACCAACAAATACTTATAAACTGAAAATGCTATGTTATCATATGTTCATTATTATACAACAAGAAGTTAAAGAGTTCATGAAATGACCGCAGTGCACAGTGATGGGCAACCCAATGCTCTTCTCTTCATTCAGCAGTCAATACTTGCTTGGCAACGATACCATTCTCTAAAGAAACTAAATTTCTTGGAGGAATACTTGATTATGTTGATTATTATTAATAATAAATTATTTTCAGAAAAATTGTGTATTTTACCATATTTTATGTTATGTTTTCTAAAAGCAGTAAGCCAACTGAGGCCGTGCATTACTGCGTTTTATCACAGGGAAGGGAGTTTTAGGCACTTTGCTTTGCATCATGCCTAATAACACCCTTCCCCGTGAAATAATCGCAGTAACACACGGCCTCTTGTGGCTTATTGCTTTATTATACAAATGAAATTGAATTCATATGAATTTAAGGGCATCAAGTGTTGTTCATTGTTAAATTATTATTTCTTTTATGCATTCTTCTCCTGTCAACAGTAAGTTAATGAAATCAAAATAAGACGATAAAATAGTCTGAAGAAAATCAGAAATATCCATATATGCCATTTCATACTTGCAGGCATTAAGTTCTGACTCTGTCTCTGTCCCTCTCTCTCTCTCTCTCTCTCTCTGTTTCTCTCTCTATCTCTTTATTTCTCTGTCTCTGACTAAAGGGGAGTTTATAAAAGCTTTGTATGAGTCAGATGAGAATTGTGAAGTGGACCCATCAAAATGTGCACCCAATGACCTTCCTGAGCACCAAAGCAACTTGAAGATGTGCTGTGAGCTGGCCTTCTGCAAAATCATCAACTCCTACTGGTAACTATAGCAACAAGCAACGGTCAAAGTAGAAAGGCTAGCTCCTGTGGATGTTTTTTTACTGTTTCTTATAAATTAGCAAGTGTAATGCAAACACGAGTTAGAATAACTAACTGTCAAAGAAACATTTAAAAACATATGAGTAAACATAAGTAATATGTCATGTAGGTAGATGTTAGGTTTATTATTTTTTGGGAACAATGGATGTGCCCTGTTTGAAAAAGTGGTGAATCTAAAAAGAAAAAAAAGAAATAAATAAAAAAAAAGAAAAAAGCATGCTTAGCAAGGCCATGTGCTGAAATGGGTCTGTGCAGAGAATGTAAACCAAACATTTATGCAAATATAACATAAAAATGTATGTTATATCCCCTCTATTAACTACATTAAGAACTATTGTTCTTTATTTGTTGGTAATGTTGTTGACCATAACGTCTTATTCTAAGTAAGAGTTTAAAGGCTTCTTACATACTGTGCTTCTGCCATTTACAGTGTTTTTCCACGAGAACTAAAAGAGGTGTTTGCGTCGTGGCGACAGGAGTGCGGCAACCGGGGGCGACCAGACATCAGCGAGCGTTTGATCAGCGCCTCGTTGTTTTTACGGTTCCTGTGTCCAGCCATCATGTCCCCTTCACTGTTCAATCTAACCCAGGAGTACCCTGATGACCGCACAGCGCGCACCCTTACACTCATCGCCAAGGTCACGCAGAACCTTGCCAACTTTACTAAGTATGTGGTGTTCTCATGCTGATTCTTGTGTTATCGAACAGGAAAGGGCTTTTTCTCTTAGTCAAATATTTGTCAAATGAATGCCTTGATTGGTTGGGGTACGAGATATTGTGGACAGTATTCCTGCAATTACAGTAAAGTGTTTTTAAACAATGATGTGTTTTTCTCCTTAACCAAAATGTAGTTGAGCAGCCAGTTTGCTTTCTTGGTTTTGCATTGGCGCTACGAGGCTAATGTAGCTAACTTGTAATGGTAGCAAATACCCCACCAATTAGCATTGTGCAAACTGTCAAAATCATTACACGCTTGCCTTAAACTGTGTTGAGTTGTTTAAAGGGTTGTTCCACAGATTTTTCAGAATGTCTGCATGATTCAGTCATCAAGACAAACAAAGTAATTCAGAGTGGTTTCATGCAAAATTATTCATTGTAGAGAAACTTACCAACTCGGATTTCTTTACAGTAGGAGCCAGGCACAAAATACTGACATTTAATTTACCATCCAAACAGCATGTGTTAATATATAATGTTTATATCTAATGTTTTATATGTAATGCCCCATATGTATCTCTGCCATGAATTAACAAAAGCATTTTAGGCCAAAAGCTATCATAAAACAATGCCTCAGGCATTCAGCGGTGTGCATAACCATGTCTTGTAATAGCTTTCTGTTACATAGCTTTAAGAGCCATGATGTCTGGTTTCTATCACCACTATTGTGAACAATTCTGACTCAGTAAGTTTCTCTAGAACGGAACATTTCACATCAAACCACTCTGAATGACTTTGTTTACATCTTACCCACTAAATTATGCATATTGTGATCTCAAATAGACTTATGTGGGTTCAGACACCATTTGATCATTTTATTTATATCTGTAAATGTTGTTTATACATTACAATTCTCTCTATCTCTCTCTCTCAGGTTTGGCAACAAAGAGGAATACATGTCCTTCATGAACCAGTTTCTGGAGCATGAGTGGACCAACATGCAGCGCTTTTTGCTGGAAATCTCCAATCCAGAAACCATCTCCAACACAGCTGGTTTCGAGGGCTACATTGACTTGGGCCGTGAACTTTCCACCCTGCACTCCTTACTGGCTGAGGTGGTGTCCCAAATGGATCAGGTGAATCCTCTCATGCTGCCCTTTAGCACTTACTGTAGCATGTATATGCTTTCTTTGTTTTTCCTTGCAGCATTTCAGTCCAAACTCTTTTTAGAGTACATTTGAGTGGTAGGTCGTTTGAGGATAGTGCCCCATAAAGGCAATCGATTGTTTCTCTACTGCAGCAGAAGTGTTTCTAGTAGCATTTCAGTATTACCCTTCACTTATCTTTGACTGTTCTTCCAGTTAACCTCACAGGCTATTTTTGTAGCTGCCAGGCTAAAGCAATACTCCTTGAAGTTCGAGGGGAAATATAGCAGCGCATAAAAACTAGTGGAAAAAAAGGCAGATGCAATCAAACAGTTGGAGCAGCAGCAGATCAACAGTGAAAATGCTGGCCATGTGGAAATATTTCACAGTTTCTCTGAGGGACATAGGACACCCAAGAACTTCTGCATAACAAGTTTAATACTACTTGAGCACATAAAATCCATCTCAAAATACAGAAAGCAGCAAAACAACAGAAGCAGAAAGGAAAGTCCTTGCTAGCATGCTGACGCCATCGGTAGCCTCTGTTTTTGAAATGACAAAAAAATTAAAAACAACAGTGTCAAAGTTCAAAGTCCAGCTAAAAACAATGAAATTTGCTGCGCTGGATTTTGTAGCCTATCTACTGTAATCATTTTAGTAAGTATATTTGTATTTTGAGATTTTTTTTTCTGTTTTCAGTTTTGGTTTTTGGCCGTGTGTGTCCTGAATTTCAGTTTGTTTTGGCCAAAAATTTTCATGTCTGTTCATCAGTACATTTTTATTGAACATGATAGTATTTCATCACATTGTATCGTATTGCTTTAACTGTGGTAAAATCACTGTAATGCTCTGCCTCTTGTGGCTTATTGCGTTCAGGTGTTATATTATAGTCCAACACTTAAGGATTTTATTTTATTTATGTATTTATTTTGTTGTAATACATTTGGAGGGAAGTATGAATGTCTGTTCCCTTAGAACTTGTTTTAAGAGCAAAGTTTCAGTTCGTTGAAGCTACTTTTTGACACTAGCCTTAATCCAAAAGAGAGATTCTCATAGCTGCACTTCAGTGTTGAATTATGAATAGCCTGTTTACATAATCCAAAGGCTCTTTCTCTCACACGTTTTGAGCTATACATGAAAAATCCATTGGTCCCCTGTTGCTATTACTGATTAATAGTTAGATAAAGGACATGACAGCATTAAAGATAGATTTAGATTTGATCCATGGAGCATCTACTGTTAGGGTGTTGCACGCTAGGTTGCAAGGAAAAGAAACTAGCTCTGATGTTACCCTCTTCCTCTAAAGCCTTTGGTCTCTTTTGAAGCCAGACACATTTCTGTTACGCAAAATGGTGCTGAACAGATCTCTTTAAATGATTAAAGATTCAAAGTCGGCCAAGCATTTAAAGCTTTATTTTATTTTTAAACGCTTCAGTGGAGTGTTGGAGTGTCTGCCTCCAGTCTGAGTCTGAGAGTGCCTCATCCAGGTTTTAATCAAAGGTTTTTTTAACAGTTTTCATTAGCAGTATGAAGAATTTGGTTGCCATAAGAGAAAATAACCAGAAAATCTGAGAGAATCTCATGGTGGATCTCTGACTTTTGCAAAGTACTGTACAATTTTTTTTACAAATTGTGTGATCAGGCAGGTTTTTGGAACTGCATTGGCCTTTTAAGTGCAGAAATAAGAAAATAGCCAGGCTTAATGTCACCCTTGTCTCTTGTCCTCAGACTGCAGCCTCAAAACTCGGTCCATTACCCAGAATCCTGAGAGATGTACACACAGCACTGACCAATCCATCAAGCGTTCAGGTGTCTGTGCCGCCTGAACGCGTACCTTCACCTACTGCCCCTGGCTGTAGCATCTCCACTAGTTTGCCGAAAATGGCCATGGACAGTGACCTGTCAGGGTAAGGCATGAGCATTCCATGATCAGTTACAGCTGTTTCATTTGGTATTCTTGTTGGGTTATAGCCCCTTACCTTAAAACGGGTAAATAACGTGAACTTTCACAGTCTCAAACAAGAGTTACCATAGTGCAGACGGTATGTTTGGTTGTTGTTCATCACATACCTGAATGTGGTTTAGCTAAGCAACATTTAAATTACTTATCAGTCATGAAATATTAGAAAGCTGCTGTTTAAAGTACATGTACGGTAATAACTTTTTTGTTGATACCTTGCAATACTTCAATATCATAGGAATAGTGATAACTATATTAAATTCAATTTGTACAGTGCTATAAAATGGTTTAAGGCACCAAGACAGTTATATTTAAAAAGCTATTTATCTGGTCTTTTTACTTTCTCAGATAAAAACACTTATATTGCAATAAATGCTAATAATATTCATACAGTAAGTTATTTTGTGTATGGCAATGTTAATTTAACCATTTTCAAACCTCTCCTCATGGAGGCCCAGTATTATTTCTAGCTATCATACAGTGTCTGGTTTGTTTAATCAATACTTCATTACATCAAATCAATTATGCCGCTAATGGAATTTATCAAATATCTTTGATGCCTGGGGGCATCAATGAGTAATCTGGAACAAAACAAGCTCTAATCTACTTTTTTTTTTTAAATAATTACTTCTTGTTATTTGTACAACCCCATTTCTAAAAAAGTTGGGACGCTGCGCAAAATGTAAATAAAAGCAAAATGCATTCAATCATTTAACCCCTATAGTTCACTGAACATCGCACAACGTCTTTTTCTTTTAAGACTGCTTATTTCAGCAAGACAATGTCAAACCACATTCTGTGTGTAATACAGCATCATTGCCCCATGTTAAAAGAGCCTGGGTGCTAAACCAGACCTGCCTGCAGTCCAGACCTGTCACCCTGATAACATTTGGCACGTTATGAAATGAAAAATACGACAAAAGAGACCCTGAACTGTTGAGCAGCTGAAATCCTATATCAAACAAGAACGGGAAACATTTCACTTTTAAAACTACAGCAGTCGGTCTCCTCAGTTCCCAAATGCTTACAGTGTTGTTAAAAGAAGAGGTGATGAAACACAGCGGTAAACACGCCCCTGTCCCAACTTTTTTGAAACGTGTTGTTGGCATCAAATTCAAAATGGGCAAATATTTTTCAAAAAACAATCAGATTTCTCAGTTACATTTGAGGTGTTGTCTTTGTATTATTTTCCTTTAAAAATATGGTTTACATGGTTTGCATATCATTGCATTCTATTTTTATTTACACTTTGCACAGCGTCACAACGTTTTTGGAAATGGGGTTGTACCATACCATTGGTTGTACCATTATGTTTATTTTACTTTATGCTAATTATATATAATGATTTTACAAGCAAAAATTAGCCAAGATAAACAGCTTTAAATGATGTGCTTAGGTGTCTAAGACTTTTGCACAGTACTGTAAGATAATATTGGACTCTCTGAGACTGTCATTTCTGAGGATTTGCGAAGACTGTCAGCAAGTTTCTACAAAACACGCAAACATCATTGACACCAGGCTAATGAAGACCATAATCAAGTCAAGGGAAATGAAATAAGAAGTTAAATGAGTCTTTCTCTTTCGTTCCCTTCCTCTCTCTTTCTTCCTCTGCAGCCAGACAGCCTTTATTGTCTAACAATAATAAGCCAGACACTGCTAATTTATTTCATCATAATCTCAGGCCAGACAAAACCCTGTCCTCTCTCTCCTTCTGTCGCTCTCGCTGTCTGTCTTTGTCCTCTGTGTTTCTCTCATATGATTCCCCAGTATATTTATCCTCTGTGCTCCTCTGTCTTCTCTTCTGTGTGTCTGTGAACAACCTACAATTAAAAGGCTCTCTTTCACTCTGGCTTCCATAAATGTCGTCAGGGAATGAGCTGTAAAGTAGACGGGCTGGTGTCTTTAGAAGAGGGGTTGGCTAGATAAGGCAAGGGCAGACTCTTTGGGAAGAGAGGCTTAGCAATGATAAGAATAGGACAGCCTTTTTGGATGAAGTGACAAACAGAGAATTTCGATGAGTCATTGCCATGAAATATAGCCTCTGGATCTTGAATCTAAACAGGCTTATCCTAGAGTGGTTGCTAGTGTTCTTCTAGTCACTAGTGTTTGACTAACTGAGTCATTTGCACAGGGTTAGTTCACAGCAGAATACAATGAGCTTTTAGTAAGTGTCATCAGTATTTAAAGAACACAGAATAACTATGTGTTTCATTAAAAAGAGGTTTAGACGAGTCGCTCAAGTGACGTAGCTTTCTAAAGTTTCACCTGGTTCAAATCTCAACAACACCAAAACCACAAATGAGCACAACAGGCCCTATTTAATTCATGGTTTAGTTATAGGGTAATTTATAAGTGACTTGTCTTGTGGTTATATCAGTTAAGACTTGAAATTAGACAATTGGGAGAAGTTAACATATTTAACAATTGAAAACCCTAAGAAAAAAAGACACGTTATATGTTGTCAGTATATTTAAGAATATAAGAATACATTTTCAGTACAATATTGTAATATGGGAACTGACATTATATCTTTCAGTAAGGCACTGTTTTAGAAAAACATTTGACCATATAAAATAAAATAAGCTGATAGTATCTAAAGCTAAGAGATTGTTTTTATATTGAAAATTGCTATTTGAAAGAACGCAATTTTTAAATCACCAGACCTTCACTTTTAATTATAGTGGGGAATTTTTAAACTTAATAAATAGAGCTTGTGAACTGCCTGAAGACGCGTTACACCATTCAGAAGCAACTAAACATGAACATACTGCATATAGGACAACACAACTAACTGGCCCTCTGGCACACTACATTGAGAACTCAAGCCTGATGCCAGAAAATGGAGTGCAATTTAAATCACAATCACAATACTGATCTGAAAAATCACAATTAGATGTTTTCCCCAAGTCATTCAACCCTGATATTATGAGCTGTCAGCATATTTTGGTCCTTTTCAACTCTCCATCCCTCTGTCTTCTCTCTCTCAGCCTGGTAGACTTCACCCGGCTCCCCTCACCAACACCCGAGAACAAGGATCTCTTCTTTGTCACGCGCTCCTCTGGCCTGCAGGGCTCCCCCGCCCGCAGCTCCAGCTACTCAGAGGCCAACGAGCCTGAGTTGGGATTAGCCAATGGCAGCAAAAGCCTGTCCATGGTGGACCTGCAAGAAGCCACCAAAGCTCTGGAGCTTGCACCTGCCCCAGAAGGGCACGTCGAGAAGCACATGGTGGCCTGGAATGCCCGGACGCCCCAGGGCAACCAACTGGGAGGTCCCACGCTCCACAGGCTAGGACAGAAGCCCACCACCTCAGGAGCAGAGGGGGTCTCAGGACGGCCGACACAGCTTCTGGCACCGCTGTCCTTCCAGAACCCGGTGTATCAGATGGCAGCAGGGTTACCCCTGTCACCCAGAGGACCAACGGGTGGTGATTCGGGCTCGGAATGCCACAGCTCAGTCAGTTCCCACAGTAACAACGAGGAAATGGGAGTGGCCGGAGTAGGGAAGCTTCCTTCCAGCTTCCTGAACCATGAGGAGTTGTCCAGACACTCGGGAGAGTTCTCGCGGAGGCAGCTGTCGCTAACGGAAACACAGCACTCCACTTCAGGTCAGCCCACAGTCCTGCGGCAAAACAGCGCCGGCCCCCAGCGACGCATAGATCAGCCGCCTCCACCTACGCAGGCCGCCGCCGCCCCTCGTGGACGGACCCCGCCCAACATGCTTAACTCCGCCCCCTATCCACGGCCTTCCAGCGGCAGCGTGATGTCGTCGTCGCCAGATTGGCCAGGAAGCGGGGCACGGATTCGGCAGCAGAGCTCCTCCTCCAAAGGGGACAGCCCAGAGACGAAGCAGCGGACGCAGCACAAGCAGGTACTTAAACTTTCTCACATGCACAACAGAAATTAAAGAAATAGTTTGGTGAAAAATCACATTTACTCAAGTTTCTCTTACCCTGAATGCAGCCAGGCATGACATTAGGCTAAGGAGCTAACAAGTACTAGAAGCTTATACTTCATGCTTGCACTTCATCATCACACACAACACTTGCCTCAAATAGGGTGGAGTTTCCAGCTATGCAGCATTCCTTTTTTAAAAATAACAAAATATCAAATAATGTCAGAAACCACATAAGTAAATCTAACATGAAATTACTTCTGCTCGATGTGGTTTGAGGCAAAAATGTTGGCTAATTGACTACTTTTTTTTCATACGAGGAAAATTTTATAAATTTGATCTTTCAAACTATTGCTTTAAAATATGAACAGCAGCTGTCTCAGGATACGGGTTAAATGGATGAATCCATTAACGGATGGATACATACAGTACTGTACAAAAATCAGACACTAACTTTAATTTATATAATTTCAGTCAGTTTAAAAAACTGAAAACATATATTTCACAGAAAATTACATGAAAGCCTTTAAATATAATACTACATTGTTCATTATTTAATGTGTCCACTCTTTTCCTTTATTACAGCTTCCATTCTTTTCAGTTTCTTGCTTTCAACGAAATCTGCAGGGACATTTTTCTACACCACTAAATTTCAGTCCTAGAAGTTGCATTTTCTGTTTCTCACATTCCAAGTCATTCCAAAGACATTCAGTGATGTTGAGGTCTGGACTTTGGGGTGGTCAGTCAGTATTTTTGTGAACACCAGCAGCTTCTTTCTTTGATTTTGAACTCCAGTTTTTGAAATTCCTTTCTCCTTCTTTATGCAGGTGGATTATCTTGTATCTAATCTCCTTATAAATATAGGCTGAAAAATAAATACCTTAAAGGCTATTTTCACTGGAAATTCAATAAATGAATAGTCTCTGAATTTTGTACAGTACTGTATTATGTACAGCATTGTAGTTTGTTCATTGTAGTAAATGGGAAATCTTTTCCCTGTTTTTTTCTACCTTTGCTGTATTAGTATATTCAGTGATTCAGAGATTACAGTGATAAGGATGTAATCACAGTAATTAATGAACAACCTGAATGTGTTTGTGTGTGTGTGAGTGGATAACGACACGCTTCTTTAGGCTGCCGAGGCAGTGTGTTATCTACCCTACAGCTTACACATATACACATGCATACACTCCACCATCTCTCACAGGCGCATTGACACACACATCCAGATTAGAGTGGCACTGTAAAGACCCCTCATGCATGAGAGCTTCCCTCTGCCTCTAATCTCTGACTCAACAACACACAAACAGTCATTAAATAGATATTAGTGCTGGCCTTTTCCTGACTTCTCTATCTGTCTCTACAAAGCCTTAATAGCTTCATTCACTGTGACGCAAGGTCAGAGGTCATCCAATTAGTTATTTTCTTTAATCTCTCTTAAGAGAAATGTTGGCCAATCACATGACCAACATTGTGAGTGTGGATTTGTGTATGTGTGCTTGTCTCTTGCAGAGTTTCCTAACCTGGGTGTGATCTCTCATTGATCTCACAATGATTTGATCTGATCACAGTTGAATTATTATTGATTGTAACATTCCAAACTGAATGTAGTTAAATTGTGATTTTCAGATTGTAATTGTAAAAATGCATTGTGGTTTTTTGATAAAATTGTAGACATTGTGACCCCTGATTCCTCTCACCACCACTGTAAAAAAAATCCAAGTCATTTAGTCTCTTTACAATGTACCATTTCACATCAAACCACTCTGCATGACTTTGCTTACATCTTGATGATTGAATTAAGAAGAAATTTTTTAAAAATCAGGAACTGCCCTTTTGTACAAGTTGGCATGTACACAAACATGGTGAAAGAAGCCATCCACGAATCAGACGAAGATAAAAACAAACGTACAACAGCGTTTACAAAAAGCACTCAAATTCATCCCAGTGGAAGTGGTAGTTTTTCCACAGTTGAGAAAAGAAATTTTACCCTGTTTGACCTGCAGGGAACTTCGATGCCACCATGTGCCCAAATTCTATCTATTTTTGAGAATATAAGCTGTATTATCATTGATTAGAATTAGAGCTGTCACTCAATTACTCAGAATTAAAACTGAATTACTTTATTAAAATTGATTACTCAGTAGTCAAATTAACCTTCTGAACAAATCTGCAGTGATTAGTTGGCGATTTGCATGATGACTGCATATTCTAGATTCTCCTACTTGCCTCTTACAGTAGGAAGCAGAGCCTGATGGATGATGGACATACTCATACTCAAGTGAAAATAAGTTAACACATCCTCTACGGGGAGTAAACTTAAAATATGACTTCCAGCAAAATTTTGTGCACAATTTCTATTTATTTGTTGAACATATTACAAAGAAATTTAAAAAATGTAATCTAAAATGCAGCACTGCTTTCCAATATGATAATTTTAGCAAATAAGCAGTAACTATACATTAAAATTTGCAGAAGTGTGTGTGTTTTTGGTAGAGTCATTTAGAGAATCAACAAAACATTAAACTTTCCATTCCACCAACTGGTCCAGTTTTGAAAATAGACATTTTTGCCAATCTTTCGTTATACAAGTCTTTAGCATTGCAGTCATGTGGGTCTTTCATTGTTGTGTTTTGCACACATTTTCAGTGGAGACAACTGTGGACTGCAGGAAGGCCAGTGTAGCTCTTGCACTCTCTGATTACGCAGCCATGGTGTTGTAGCACATGCAGAATGTTTCCTGGTGTTGTCGAGTTAAAATAAGCATTAACATCCCTGAAAAAGACGGCGTCTAGAAGGCAGCATATGTCGCTCCAAAATATGTTCAATGTAAATGATGCCTTCACAGAGTTAATGATGCCCTCTTAAACCAGGACAGACACTGGCTTTTTGAACTACGCTGGTAACAGTCTGGATGGTCCTTTTCTTCTTTGCCTGGGAGAACACAGCGTCCATTATTTCCATAAACAGTCTGAAAGGTTGACAGATGAGCTGGACTCCAGCGAAGTCTCAGTGTTACTTCCACTGTGCATAGTACAGTCTTAACTTGTATTTGTGGATGCAGCAATGGTCTGAGTTTATTGACTATGGTTTGTCAAAGTATTTCCAAGCCCATGTGGTGATGTCCATCACAGAAGCATGTCGGTTTCTAATGCAGTGCTGTCTGAGGGGTCGAAGTTTCACAGGTATTCATATGCACAGAGATTTCTCTGGATTCCCTGAATCGTTTGAAGTTATTATGCACCGTAGAGGGTTGGATTTTTGTTTTTTGAACATTTCACAATTTCAGTCTCAGTTTTTCAATTTCAGAAGAAACATTTATTTACAAAAACCAGTGAATTGATACGATGAAGTGTTCACTATCTTGTCCTTGCACTGTTTTCGTTCAAATATAGGTCAGAGTAGACTTATAAATCACTGCATTCTGTATTCATTTGCATTTCACACAGTGTCCCAACTTTTTTGGAATTGAGGGTTGTGTATTCTGTATATCGTCACTGTTGTAACAACAGCTCTGAATCTCCATACTCTACACCATTTAAACGTCCCTGGTAGGATATTTAAAAAAAAGAGCTATCAGAAATTTTGAGAAATGAATGTTGTTGAATTGTAGTGATGACAGTAAAAATGTAGCATGATGCATTAATGTGTTTTTACACTCCTGTGCCTCAGTGATGCTCATACTTTCTGCAACGGTTAGGATAATTGCCAGTAATCACAGACTGTGGCTGTTGTGGCGTCCTGTGGGTTTCCTTTAGCAGATCGACTGTAATCATCAGTGTGAGAGGAAAATGATGATTATACTCAGTGGTCCGACAATGAAGGGGACAGCAAGGGCATTTCCTCCCCCCACAATGCATTGCGCCCTCTCCCGGGATTTGATTGATTGGTTTGAATGATTGATGGAAGCCCCTGGGCAGCACCAGCATCTCTCTCTCCATCTCTCTCTGTATCTCTCTCTATTCTTCTCTGTCTGTTATTGACTGTGGGGTTACCAAGGCCATATCTGTATCTCTCTGTGAATAGATGGCTCTGGGAGCGAGAAAGTTATCTCATGGCACACAGACAGAAAAAATACTTTTTTTCTGCCTTGCAGATCGAACAGACTGAGAAAAAACAGTTCTTCCTCCTACATCCTCTCCCTCCTCCACTGCGCTAACTGTCCCTGCATCGTCAGGCTAATTAATATCCCAGATTCAGTGGCATTATCACAGTATTCGTGCTATATTGTATTTCAGAACATGCTTCAAAAATGTTCTGTAGTGACCCTTACTTTTACCTTTTTGTCAAAAGTTTGGGGACATCTTGCCTTTTTGAAATAGTATTTGATTTTCACTGGCAGAGTTTTTTTGTTTTTTTTTAACATAAAACAGTTATTGGCTAATTCTCTGGGTGTATTTAGCTTCATGTTCACCAATGTGTCTCTCTTGATGTGAAGAGCAGGTTTTATCTAACTACTGATTTGACAGTTTTCTTTTCCAAACTGTTCATAAAAGCACATGTTGAATTTCTTTTGGCCCAAAAGTGCCAAACAGCTGACATGAAATGTGTGTTGGTTGGCTTTGTTCTCAGTGTAGTACTTATTTTCAGTTTTTCCTTAAGTTTTGCTTCCTGTTTAATATATTTAAAGGGAATTCATTTTTCAAAGTTTTTGCATCATTAAATGGTTAAGATGTAAACAAGGTCATTCACAGTAGTTTAGTAGTTATCCACAGTGGTGGTGATAGGAACCAGATGCCTGAAGAGTTTAATGCCTCAAAAAGCTCCCTCACACAAAGTAAGTACATTGAGTGGTTAGGAATGATCTGCCTGATTTTTGAGACATTTTACTTTTTACAAAAGTTATATAAGAGATAAAGCAGACTTCCACTGTTTTTGTTTTTCTTCAAAGTCATTCAGATTGGTTTCATGTGAAATGATTTTTTGTAGAGAAACAGACTGCGACTACATCGCAAAGTCATTTTATTTGCTATCCTAAACCACAGTGAACCTGCATGTGGCTTCTGTTTTTGTTATATGTAGCATTGATGGTGTATCTTGGTGGTATATCTGAAAAAATACATTTTCTTTAGGGACTATTTCACCAAACAAAATTCCCCCCTGCATGTTTCCCCCTGCCTTTAAGATATTTAAAAAAATATACATTTTAGGACAAAACCTTCTCAAAACTTATCATAAACCAATGTCCCGGGCATCAGACAGTGTTTTCATAATCATTTAATGATTCTTCTAGCTGTGATGGTGCTTTTAGAGGCATTCTACTCTTCAGACATCTGGTTCCTATTACCACCACTGTGAACAATTCTGACTCGGCAAGTTTCTCTAGAACAGAGCATTTCACACCAATCGACTCTGAATAGCTTTTTTCACAACTTACCAATTTAATTATGCAGGAATTTAGAGAACTCATTGGAATTTCCCTTTAAGATTTTGACTTAAAATGTACATTTTAAATGCTGGTGAGGTTCATGCAGGGCATTGTACAATAAAGTAGTACCAAAAAAATGTATTTATTAGTTTTTTTAGATATACCACTATTTTACTATTATCAGCATTCCATATAAAACTTATAAGATGTGTGTAGGTTCATTGGTGGTTTTGGATAGTAAATAAAATGTCTGGATTTGTGTTGTAGTCTTCACAACCTCCCTTTTCTATCACCACTGGAAAAAAATCTGAGTCGGTAAGTTTCTCTACAGTGTGCAATGAAGTCACTCTGAAAGACTTTGTTTACATCTGAAATATTGAGCTATAAAGAAATTTGGAAACATTGATGGAATTTAGGTTATTGGTAACCAACAAGGAAAACATACTAATTTAGTACAACAAATATTGAAAAACTCAACGTCATGACACTTTTGATAGGTATTTTACGGATGTGCCTGTCCTGTGGGGACTTGGGATGTGTTTATGCCTTCACTGTACTTATGCCTGTGTGTGTGTGTGTGTGATAGGCCCCTTCCCCAGTGATCCCCAGTGCACTGGACCGAACCGCTGCCTGGCTGATGAACATGAATGTGCCGTACTTAGAGCAGGACTCAGAGACAGATCCACGCAGGGATGAGCACACACTCAACGAGAAGGTAAACAACCCCTTCACACACACACATCTCCCCCTCACACAACGGCTGCATCCAATGTACTGTGCTAAAGTATGTCTGAGGCACAACATCGGACCTTTCTTTAATTTAATTTCCAGTCAAATGGCCATTAAGTAAAAGTTATTCATTTTTCAGGAGATATTATTAATGAGGACATTAGGTATAAGATAGTCCACTTGAAAAAGGAGGAGTAAAGTCAAAAATTCCAAAACTGGAGTTCAAAAAAATGATAAAAAGATACAGAGAAAAAGGGGCTCCTAGCAACCGTACAAGAGCTGGTAGACCACCAAAACTGTCCCCATCAGTACTTAAAGATTTCATCTTTGAGAGAGAGGAGAAAATCACGTTCCACTCGTGCTTCAGTTCTGAAAAACACAGGTGTTTCTGTCCATCCTGTCCTGAGAAGACAGCTCTACGCTATGGTTCTGAAAGGATGTGTAGCTGTCGAGAAGCTGTTAGTGAGAAAAGGGAACAGACAAATAGAAGAAAATTGCCGAATCACACAAAGCTGCTGGTGTTTTCAGAACAATGGACTGACCACCACAGAGCCCAGACCTCAGTATCATTCAATGTGTGAATTTTTTGGATTGTGTGAAGCAGAAAATGCGACTTAGCGGACACACTAAATACTGAAAAAATGATATTTACATTTAGTTGTTGAGGCTCCTGTGTAATTTTCTGTGAAATGTTTTCTGCTTTTTTCCTGAAAAATGAAAAAAATATAACTTATGCTTAATGACTGTTTTCAGCTGGATATTACATACATGAAGGATACAGTACTGACTCTTGCACAGTACTGGATTTCTTGTCATCTTTAAGAATGCAGAAAATGTGTCATTTAGGGGGATTCATCCTTAAAGCGATAGCAAATCTAATCTAAACATATGTTTGGTGTTTGCTTCTTTAGATTTGCACAAGAGCTACAAGGTTAATGAAGCTAACAAGTAATTAATAAAAAATGAATAGGTATTAATTAAAATATGGTATAAACATGCATAACTTTTTACAGATTGCCATTTCTAATAATTTTAATGAAAACCATCAAACGACTTAACTGACAAAAAGAAGATTTTAAAATATGCATCATCATGCAAATCACCAACTATGTATGGCTGAGTCACTGAGGTCATTTGATTAATTTGATTAATTGTGACAGCCTTACAATACAGTATATGCCTAATTTTAAATGTGCTGGGGAAAATGAGACGCAGCACCTGATCTACATCTCTGCTTTCTGTAGGCTTTCAAAGGTTGTCTGTAATTACCTTGAAAACCCATTACACTTGACAAGTGTTAATGTCACCTCATGCAACCATTTTCTTCATTAGTGAACCCAGGGATAAGCAGAGAGAGAGAGGCTGACTTATTTTGCATTGTAATTTTCATTTACACAATCTTGTAATTATGCCATTACTTTCTGCAGGTGATACTGTTGTTTTCTCAACTGTCGGTCTCAATCAAATGTAAAAAACATAGAAAAAGCAGGGATGCAAATGATTCAGCATTCATGAGGCGATTGGTCTGTTCTGTGGAACTGACTGACGCTTCTCAAAGACACGAGAGGCCTCGCGCACCTGCCCAAAATGAAGAGAGAAAAGTACAACACTGAACAAAAGCTGAACTCATTGTGTCAGAGCGATGTGTGAAACTTTGATGTGTGTTCTGGGAAAATGCAGGACATTTTAAGCAGCTGTGAGGAGACATTGGAGTCAGTTCAACTAGACCTGCTTTTGGAAAGCTTTTCAGAAATGTGGCTGTTTTGAAGACAAGTTGTTTTGAAAAGCAGTGTTTACTTTTATTTTCCCCCATGAAACATGCAAATATGAGTGGATTAAAAAATCTAAAAATATAGAGACAGATTGAACCAGGGCTGTATTTAGGAATTCTGGGACCCAAGGCCAGACACCCCATCAGTGCGTCTATCATAGACGAACATCAGAACAATAGTACAGAACAGTACAAAAACCTTGTTGTGATGTCCTTTCAAGTTAAGATTGTCATCATAAATGGTGAAATGGTGACTTAATAAGAGAACGAGGAAACAGTCATGCTTGCGAGGCCTCCTGGTGGCCGAAACCCTGGGCTGCAGCTCTTAAGGCACATACGTGTGCAACGTGCTTCTGCAAGACTACAGTTGCCAGGTGTCCAATTTTGGACCAGATAGTCCAGTTGTTAGTTCCATTGTAAATTGTCCAGTTTGTCTCTAAATGCATTCCATCAGTTGAAGTAGATAAAGTGCCCTTCCAGTCCTGTTATTATGCAGCATATACTGAACTAAATAGCACGTCAGATTGGTACACCATCAATAGTTCCATTACTATTTAGAACATACTATTTAGTACAGTGGTATTGGGCCTGTGTGTAGGCTACTTTATAGCGGGTTCAGGATAAACCTGGTTTTTCTCAGTTACAGTTAGATTCAAAAAGTAATGAAATATAGTTCTTCATCTTATGTATCAGTTAGTCTACAGAGAACACAGTGAATAAAGAGGCTTCTTAATAACAACTAACTTAACATGTCGAACACTAACCTGTAATATACATGTAGTATTTGTGTATTTTCTTCAAGTCTGAAGGAAAATGTAAAAACACCCCCACCCCCATCATTTGAAGAACAGATTGGTTACAATTTGGGTTGTCACTATTAATTGTCTTAGTAATTGAGTAATCCACCGATTATTTTGACATTTAATTGAGTGCTAAATAAAACAGACTAAAAGTAAGAATCCCAAAACATTCACAGCTTTTCAAAGATTCCAAAAAAACTGAACCAAAGAAAGGAATCCAGGACTAGACTCAATCACAAAGCCAGTCCACTGAAATCAGCCCTACTCCCTCAGAGCTTTAGTTTTGGAATCATTGGATTTTTCTGATAGGGTTAGATGTTCATACTGAGAATGCCAGACAGAGTGAATTTAATTTAGGAGTGACATCGAACAGCTAGTATTCATGAGACTGAACGTGTGAAATAGTAATGCCACAGCACTGATTTATCAAAGAGCATCTTTTATATTCGGTGCTGAATTACTCAGACGTTGAATATGCTTATGTTCTGTCCCCTGAGCTCAGCTCATCTCTCGCTCTCCTTCCAGTTCACTTTAGATTATAATTTTTTTCTAATCAGTGGTATTGCTTTCACACACACTCACACACACGCACACACAAAAACCACCACCATTTATTGATCTTCAGTTTCTTCAGCGGTAAGTTTCAAGCACTGTTCTACATTTCTGCTCCAGTAGGTCCCAGATTTCTGGAAAATTGCTTTGGGGTAATGTCTGTTGTAAAATTTGTGCTGTCCCAGTCCTGCCCTCAATCCTCATCTGAGTTCTAGTGTTGAGTAGGGGAGAGCGGGTCACAAACATACACTAACTAAGGCAAAATATAACATGGATCATGGATGTAACTGAACAGGTTCAAATGGAACAGGCTTTTTGTCAACTTCTCATATTTCCAGAGCAACGTAGTGCAGGTTTTCAAAGCAATTGTACCGATTTTTTTTTAGATTCAAGAAGGTTGTTTTTGTACCATAAAAGTAATTTTTCATCATTAGTGTTATTGATTCAAAATTTACTCCTATATTATTTTAGTCACCCTCTTGACAGTAATAAAGCACCAGTTTACACTGTAAAAAATTTCACTGTAATTTTGCAGTGATTACTGGTGGCTTTGCAGTGATTTACCATATTAACAGTAAAATGCCAAGTGTACTGCACAGTCAGCTGGACCACAAGATTACTGTAATATAGCTGTATTCTGCTGTACAGTAAGCTATAATTAAAAAACAGTCATCTCCTTTTTACATAACTGTAAAAGCAACTCAGTAGGCAGTGGTTTACCATATCTGTATATATGAAAAAAAACTTTAAATTTTATAGGACAGTATTTCAACAATATCAACATGAGTTGATTTCACAATAGTATAATGAATAAAATGAGTATTTTACTGTGACAAAAAGGGATTTAAACATTTTGAAAATCTGACAGTAATTAACAGCGTAACTAGTGTTAAGAACTTAGACTTTGCACACAAACCTGAGTACAAACTTGCAACGTGCAAAATCAGTGGAACCCACTCCAGATCCTGACATTCCCTAGTTTTGAACAGAGGCTGCTGAAGACGGCGGTGCTGTACTATTAAAGTAAAATGAATTGCGCTGAATGGAATATCTTACTAATTCATTACATTTGATGAGGCGATTAACAAAGATACATTCTGTGTCTCTCTCTCAGTACCAGGCTGAGATAGCTATGCTGCAGGAGAAGCTGCGTGGGTCGGTGCAGAAGCTAGAGGAGTGCGAGTTGCGGCTGCAGGGTCAGGATGAACAGGCACAGAAGATGCTGCTGGAGTACCAGACCCGGCTAGAGGAGGCTGAGGAACGCCTGCGCCGCCAGCAGGACGAGAAGGACCTGCAGATGAAGAGCATCATCAGCAGGTGCGAGACACGGAGGAAGGGGGCTCAGTATTAAGCACACAGCTCTCTGACCTCACAATGATTCGTTTTGATTACGGTTCTTCAGCAAAGAATTCAGTGCATTATGAAGTTTCAAATTTCATTAATTTTGATTAGACTTATTTCAGTTATTTTATAATTCAGACAAAACTGATCTTTATAAATACACTGAATCCACAAATGTGAGTGGAGGAAATTTTTACACAGCAGTGGAATAAAGCCAAAGTGTCTGTTTAAGATGTGTGCATAGGAAGATAGAAAAGTCAGGCCCAAAAATGAGTGCCTAATGTATTAAAGCTGCACTATGTAAGATGTGGGGATTTGGAGACCTCTCTGGTGGCAAAGTGTGGAAGTACACACAGTAACAGTTCCTTCGCTGAGTGCATGTAGGTCCTTCTACTTATTTCAACTTTAACAAAAACCTTACATAGTACAGCTTTAAGTATTATTATAATTAATAGAATAAATTCTGATATTACAAAAGTGGTGCTTATGAAGTGCCACCTTTGAGATTGATGAAATTATACACCCCTAATCAGGATGGAATAAAAAATAAACAAAAAAGAGATTCAGAAATAAAGGCCTTGAGGCTGTGCAGCGCATGCTGGGAACAAGCTGTTTCTAGTCTGCCGTTCTTTTTCATTAACACTGAGGCTCTAACAGGCAGGATGGAGGAGAGCTGTCAGCGTGCATTGGTTTTCATCTTGTCCTGCTTATTGAGAGGTGTCTGCTACAGGGATGGAGCAGACAGCTGTTTAAGACAATTACAAACTGTCAAGAAAGCCACACTGAGTAGACACAGCAGCCACAGTTGTACTTATACATTCAGGCAAAATTGTTACTTTGAATTTGAAACAACAGGCCCTTTTGTGTTTTGACCAGCTGAGCTGGTTATGGATATTGGTTATATTGTACTGGCCGCCACAAGACTCTGGTCAGACAGTACAAAGTCATCAGACGGATTTAGTCTGTTTACAATGTAGAAAGGACTAACAATTCGAAATGGTTGCAGCTGTACATTTGCATGTATGTACGCAAAAAACCCTTTCTATTCATAATAACCCCCAAAACACACATAACAACAGCTCCTGACTGTCTTAACTGAAGCCTCAAAGGATTAACTTTACCTCTTGCATTAACAGCTTAAATATAGAATGTAAACTCACATCATCTCTGACTGCTGTACAGAATTCCACTGTAACATGAAGAGACAGAGAATAATAGTCCCACTTTTTTAGTCAAAAGTTTTGACTCAAAAGCATAGAGATATGAACTAAGGCTGGGCAGTAAAACGATAACAATAATTATTGCAATATAACTTATTTATGCCTTTAAAAAATATTAGTGATCTTTTAATTCTTAAGTTATTGGATAAACAGTTTTTGTCACAAGCGATGACATCATTTACCACACGAGTGACACAAGTGACAAATGAATAGTAGTATTTTTTTTTCCATTTCTGACCTCATTTCTATCCTAACATCCTAACAAGCTTTGGCAGTGCTAAATCATGTCTGCTCCTTACAGCCCTATTCATATTTTATTAGTAGTGCTTTTCCCAGGCCACAAAAGTGAAAGAAAGAGGTGGGTTCATGCTAATTGCAGCACTGAGTTAAACAAAAGTACACTGAGGATGCTGTATGTGTGGCCTGGGAGAGTGAAGAACTCTAGCTTCCCAAGTGAGCTGTTTTAATCAGCTGGTTGACTTGAAGCAGTGCTCTGTCACCCGCGCCACACAGCCAAAACGATGTTACTGTTGTGAGCTACAGTGTTCAAACAAGACACAAAAGATGGACCTTGGTGGCATTAACTCCCCTCTTTTTAGGTATGACGTTGTTTGTCTGGTGCAAGAGAATCACACTGCAATTAATGCCACGATGTCTGCCTTTGACACGGCGAGCGTCACACACATTGCGGTTCCTCCACCCCTCAAACTGCTGCAACAGCACAGAGAAATCCAAATGTGTGCAAGCTTGTTTGAATACTGTGACATGCTCTGACATGGATGTGGTAGGAGTGACAGGAGTAAGGCAGCGTGATCCATCATTGATGTACTTGAGCCAGCTCATGTTTTAATTTTGAATATTAAATTGCAACCGTGCTGTGGGTGTGAGAGTTTCGGTTGTTTTGACAGATACTGAGGTCACCATAACATGCAAATTTATAATCTTTAAAAAACAAAACTTCCATTTGCTTTAGAACATAACCATAACTGTAACATACCTAACATAACCATACCTTTAACATACCTAACACAACCGTACCTGTAGTAATGCGAGGACCACTCGGTTCACACCACATGGGGGAGGGGAAAACATATGTCACATGAGAACTTTGATATTTCCCAGAGGTTTTAACCGGTGGGGTCAAATTGAGTCCAAGGATAAAAGATATTAGTTAGTTTGAAGATAACAGGAAGAATAAACAGCATCTGAAACATAAGGGAATTCATAACTTGTGCATAGTGTTACATTGCTTTTGTTTTGTCGATGCAGGTTGATGTCTGTGGAGGAGGAGCTGAAGAAGGATCACGCCGACATGCAGGCCTTGGTTGACTCCAAACAGAAAATCATAGATGCACAGGTATGAGCTTCTAAAGCCCCATGCTCATTTTTTGCCTTTCCGTTGCTCATGATAATACAGAGATAATACAACATGTACCTTCTTGTGGAGCCAAATGTGATCTCTAAGAATACAGGTCTGGTAAACTTTTGACGCTGGACAACACCTCCTGTTAAACCCGGCCCCGAATCCGTCAGGTGTCTGCTCTTGTAAAGTATGCAGTATGTATGCAGTTCTGGGGGGGATTTTTCAGCAGTGGTAACTGATGTTGCAGTCATGGGGCTAACATCAGACAAACTTTTTCTGTCGGACAGTGTTGAAGAGCGCACCATCGCCCTGTACTTTGAGCTCCGACTTTACAAAGCATTGGACTAGTTAGAAATCTACTGTTTGTTCTCACCCTAAAAAGTCTGCATTCCCACCAGTATTTAGCCCAAAAATTCTCATGCTTGTCCCCAGATGTTCTTGTGGCAAAATCACATTGTTTTTTTGTTTTATTTATTTATTTTTTTATCCAGTTTCCTCCCCGTCATGTCTGATTCCACCAGCTAGTTAGGTCTCCTCCTATCAAACAATGTTACCAAGCTGGGAAGACTAGCATGTGCGTCCTCCAAAATACATGAAGCTTCATCACCTTGTTTCAAACTGCGGCTAACTCAACGTCACTGGCCAGCTCAACATGCTTGCAGGAGAACACTAACTGCCAATTCTGTTATACCATTTAACCGATGTCCACATTTGCTAGCCAGGCTAGACCACCCAGAGGGAGCGAGGCCAGTTGTGCTCTCTTGGACTTCTGGCTACAGATAGCTATGGCATCACCAGGGACTGAACTCATCTGTGTTGACCTGGTGATATTTTCAGTGATTTTTATGTAAAATATTACTGAACATAATGATAATACACGAACATGCTAATCGTCATTCTGTCTGAAGTCCTTTCATTCTCGATATTATATTTTGTCTAGATTTTTCACACTTTGGCATAATGTGGAAAAAATGTCTGAACACCTTTGTATAGACTTCAAATACGTTTTAATATTTACAAATTACACTGATCTAATACTCATTCTTAAAATCACCCTTAAAAACAAATATTTTAAAGTTTTTTTATTGGTGTATATTCAGCTGTCCCACTTTATTTAATGTTCTAAACTGCATATTGACTAAAATATGATCTTGTTGGTGGGTCAGTTGCAGAGCGGCACCTTGTACTGTGTGTGTGGAGGACGCTCTTCTCTGACACTTTAGGAAAAAATATAAACAATTTAATACGATAGGAAAAAGCTGATATTCCTGCCTGAAGCAGTTATGGACTGGGCTGAGTCAGAGGTGGTGTGGATTGGACACATGGTGGTACTTGGACGAGCATCATTTACTTACATATTTGAGATGATTCATCAAAGTTGTCGAGTCTCCATGTTGAGTATATATAAACTTTTTCTTATAATGCAATAATTCAAAGTCCTCTCCCACAAGTGGTTTCGTTCAGAGGCATCTTTGCTCTTTTAGCTTCAGACCAGGTGGAAGGCGGAGCAGTTTGTTGTGCTCTCAGGGGAGGTGGTGTGTGTGACTGCCAATGAAAAAGAAAGCTCTTATCTACAAAGGAGAGGCTTTGCTGGAATGGACAGATGCACAATCACAATCACATCGCTGTTGTTGGAAGAAAACCTCTTATTTTGAAAATAGTAACTTTACAGGAGAAGGAAAAAACCTACTTTACTTTTAATGTAAGTCAATGGAACCAGATTTTTTCCCCCCCAAGTCGTTTTGGGTAGTTTCTTTTAGTCCATTTATCATGAAAGTAACACAGTGTTAAAGGGTAACAGGTATTTTCAAATTATGTCAAAAATGGAGATATGAGGTTTTCTTCCGACAGCAGCGATATGCATACACACGACAGATTCTCATGATAATACTTCAAAAGTTTTCCCCTTTTAAAGCCCCCTTAAACACACACACTCATGCCCGCAGCCCGAACACTCACATCTATCTAATATTAACCACCCACACTTTCCTAATGAGGAATGAATGTGCATTTGCAGAAAAATCAGTTTTCCAACTCTGAACCCAGCATGAAAACTTCATTAACATACAGCACTGGACCAAGAGCCAAGAGTGCTGCACGAATCTGAGCCAAAATGGCACCAAGTGCCTTTAAAATTTCATGGAATCTCCCCCTGCTGGTCTCTCATTCTCTCACCAGCCTTTGATCATCTCTCTATACTTATTTAAATTCCAATTCACTTTTTAAACTGATGAATCATTAAAGTATTACATGAGTGGTTATGAAGAAAACTGTGCAGAACCCTAACGTTCACAGAGATCAAAGTAGTGTCATGAACCATTGTACGACATCCAGCTGTCATATCTTTTATCTCTTACGTCTTATCATGGTGCTACATCCCATTATCATACTTAGACATTTTAGGTAAAGTCACTTTATAATAATAATAATAATAATAATAATACATTTGTTTTGCCAAAACTTTGTGTACTAAGAATATTCATAATATTAATGGGAAGTCGGAAAGTTGTATCCCTTTGAAGGCCATTTTAAAGGTATATTTGAAAGAGAGGGCCCTGACCACAGTTTATATCAGCAATAAACAACGTATGGTCAGCTGTGTGACCTACACTGTATATGGTTTGAAGGGCCAAACTAGGAAATTGCATTAAGCCTATTAAAAAAAAATGTAGCATTAATAATTTAAATGTTACCTTGAGTTGCAATCTGAAGCTTCAACTGCTACATATAATATCACATTTTTCAGTATTTAGTGTCTTTATTCATTGCCTTTTTTACAGCGTACATTCTTTTTAGGAGAATTGCTTTCAGTTTATCACTGAAATCTGAAGAGATTTTTTTCCACACCTAAAGTTCAGTCTTACTAGTTGGTTGCATTTCTATTGTCTGTGTTCCACTAAAGTCTACAAAGTTCCTCCAGTTGTTTTTGTTGTGTTTTTAAAAATAGTTGTGGTGAAATTATAAGGTTCCTGTCAGCAGTCGAACCGTGAACTGTTGTGAGGTCACCCCAAATTATCATTCTTCCCTCTCTCAGTGTGTCTTCATGATCCCGTTGTCCTACTTATCTCTCTCTCTCTGTTTTGTGTCTCTCTACAGGAGAAGCGGATAGCGTCTCTAGATGCAGCCAACGCCAGGCTGATGAGCGCTCTGTCGCAGCTGAAGGAGCGCTACAGCATGCAGACACGCAATGGCATCTCTCCCACCAACCCCACCAAACTGCAGATCACAGAGAACGGAGAGTTTCGGAACAGCTCCAACTGCTGAAGCCAGCCTCCAGAGATGTACGGCGTAATCCAGACAGAAAGCACGGGGTGGAGAGAGGAGAACACATGGCCAAGAGGCTGGGAAAGGCACGGGAAATGTGTCTGTGCGGACAGTTTCTTTTTTTTATTATTATTTTTATGGACTCTGGTTTTGAACAGCTGGTAGATGATATTGGCTGTTCTGTGGAGCAAGGATACGAGGTAAACCTCAAAGCTTTGGCCATTAAGAGGCATCCACTACTTCAGTTTAGGACAAACCACTAGATGTAAATCTCTGTACTAGAATACCTAAATGTAAGCAACAACTGGACATCAAAAAAATGACATACTGGGTACATACCGCAGACGTATAGTGGCTACAAGTCCCTCCGCAGTAGCTTTAGCCTCAGATCTCCAAATTGTTGTCCAGTGATTATTTTAAAAGCGTGTATTCGTACTCATTCACGCTTCTTCAATACCAGGTATTGAAAACTTTGTTACCTGGATACCAAGCTAGCAAATGCAAAATGCTGCCTCCTTTCAGAAAATCTAGCGCTCTCTTGCACCCTTTCTTGCACCCACGTCTACTGCACTTTCTGTAACCGCTCCAGCTCCCCACACCTAGTGCACTTTGTAAGCTCTTCAACATGAGAAGCCTTAAGAATGGAATGCAGCTCCTTTATCCCCTTAATCAGTTTGCCTAAAAACAAAAATCAACACTTTTGCTGGACCATTTTCAAACATGTTTACAAAGGCATGTCTACAAGGAGTGAAGCACTAAACCTTGTGTTAGCAAATATTGTTTATAGCAAGTTTTCATTTTGGTGTATATATATATATATATATATATAGCCAGTTTTCTAGTTTCCATTTTAGTCAGTCGCTACTCCCTGAGACATTCTTAATAGCCTTTTTAAAAGACAGTATACTGTGTGTGTGATTGGTTCTAGTCTAAGGGTTATAATACATAGTTTATTACAGTTTACACTTAAACAAGCTTCTGTAGAGTCATGGTGAAGTTATTGTTTTGATGCAATTTGCCATAGATGAGTATGTTAATTTGGTCTGTGCCCACCTGAGGTATTTCCCCATTTTAATCAGCACAAGCTGCAGATATAAAGCAGTATGAATATTACTAATTAGGCAGCAGACATAAACATGAATTAACTTTGTCTTAATTCTGCTTTGGTTTCATATTTAACCTCATATTATAGAACCTTTCTATAACCGGTGTAAAGTCTTTCGAGCTTAATCACTTTCTAAGCCTTCAATATTGATGCTTCCCACTTTTGTTGCTTCTTTCTTGAAGGCAGTGCCAGGTGTCCACACTTTTGTTTATGTGCGTGCCATTCTCACCGACCCAGCAGGTGAGGTCCGTATACAAGCATAGAGAGCTTGTTTATTTTTGTATTTCTGTTCTTACATACAAGAGGAGCCACCTGCATTTCTCATGCCTGGCACTACAGTAAGATGCGATGCTGCAGATCTGATTTAGCTGTTTTGCCAATAAGGAGCGAGAGACAAATATAGTTCTTGTCATTTGACTGCAAAAAATATAAAATATATATAGCGATGCATAAGCATTGAGTCTCGGGACATAGTAAACATTTTTACCTGATTATCAGTGATGAATTCTGCTGTAGCAAGACAAGGTGCATCCTGTAAATATTATGTAAAAGAAAATTAAATATATATATGTTCTCACACACACACACACACACACACACACATATATATATAAAACTTTTCATTTCAACATGTGTTCTGCTGATTTAGGACTTTAGAGATTACATTTATTATGATGTTTCTGCTGTTTCAATGCAATGTACATTATGAATCAAATAGCCAGTCATGAATGACACTGTCCCATTGATTCATTATATTCAGTTTGGTCTGTAAAGCAAAAGATGTAGGGGCTGTAGTTCACCCAGAGCTGTTAAATCTGGTTTACCAAATACATAAAGCACAAACTCTAAACCTTCATAATGCCCTAATAAATGCCTGTTAAGCCTATGCACTTTTTATTGTAACTAAATTCAGTTTCTCATATGCGAGAATATACATCCCCACAGTGAGATCAATTCAGAAACCCATATTTGTCTCGAGGGTCCCTCACTGATATGATGAGCTTACCTTCCATCATAGGCAGTGATTTAAAACATATGAAACAGCCAATCCATTTGGTAGGAAAAAACATGTAGCTCAGATTGCTTTTTCTCTCATGTCAGTGACTGGCAGTTAAATATTGGGGGAAAAGTCTTCTTTCAGTTTCTGTTTCGACTCGTACCCACGTCATGACCATGCTTAAGTAGCCAAATCAAGGTGCTCATTTGTGGGTCAGTGAACTACAATCTTAGCACTTTACTGATTCTGTTAAATTTGGTGCTTAATTCTCACAAATGTTAGCGAATTTGTAGCCTATGACACCATGAGTGAATATGTGCTGCAGTTGCTTTTCATTATATCAGTATTTAATATTCAAAGTGGTAGCATAAAGGAACCACGCATTTCAGGAGTTTTCAGTTGCGCGCATCCAACTGATCACCAAGGCCCAGTCAAACGAAAAGCTATTCTGAATCGTCACGTTTCCAAGAATGAACGAGTACGTGTGGACTGATTCTCATCAACTGTACAGAACAGCATACAAAGAAAAGTGTTTGCTGATGTCTCAAGGTTCTTTCTGACAGACTGACGTCTTTATCCGGCATCTTTTCAGCTCTAGATTATCAAAAAAGAAAAAAAAAAAACTCACAGTGGCACACACTCTTTACTCAGTTCCTGTTCTCAGCAGTCAATGTGGTATATTAGCTTTGTCAAAAGAGACATTCATCTATAACTGAATACAAAAATATGTTGTATGTTTTATAATCCTTGTAGAAAGGAGTTTTGTAAGTATGTTTAAAGTAAAGTATTGGCTGGACTCTGGCTTCTTTTGAAGACAATGATGAGAACAATAATGTACAGAGAGATATGTCCATGTTAAGAACTATGAAAATGTGGCTGTGCAATTTATGTACATTTGCAACTAGGATAATTAAAATTTTATTTAGCTATTTTATACCTGCTTTGTTGTCTTTATTTTCTTTTAGGAGGATTTCATAAACAAGCGTGAGGCTATATTACCCTTGCTTTAACATGTTCTCAATTTTTAATGTTTTTGAATGTTTTTAGAAACCTCACAAGAAATATAATGGAAATCTAAATTTGAATGGATTGACATCTATTACAGAAACAGACTTTGATGTACATTAGCTCTGGGACTATGTAAAGCTATGTTTGACATTATAAAAGTGCTGCTCAGTCTAAAACTACTGCATTAAATAATCATTTTGGAGTTTCTTGAAAATATTTAATGTTTATAAATGTGTGTACATTTATATTAAAGCTGATTTAAATAAATACTTCGATACCAGATTCTACAAGTAAGACTAGACCATTCACTTTCACAGTCTTTACTAATTCCTTTATGGTTGTACTGATTATTACGAATAATTATTACTCCTTTACAAGAGTCAAACATTACTTGAATAAAAGAGAGTAAACGTATGTGTGCAAATCAGCTTAGCTTAGTGATAGCATAGTATGTACAGTACCCATCAGCAGTTGGGATACACTTTGTAAAAACCAGGGCTTTCAAGATGATCTGTGCTTTAAACTGTGTAAACTTGTCTATAATCATTTAAAAGTTTATTTCATGATGTGGGGCAAATCAATGAAAATGAAATCAATGAAATCATGACCCAAAGAATATCCCATGTTTATAAAACTGTTAGTAAATGAATTGTTATGTCAATAATACTGCTAAAATAAATGAACATGAACAGCCACCAATAAGCGTTATGGAAATGACCCCAGTGCTCATTGGCAGCTACTAGCTTAGTTCACTGTGAGCATCATTAGTCTGTGTAGATGAGGCAAAGCGGCCTCATTTGAGGAATCCAAGATTTACAGACAACAGTCATCTTGCCTAAACATTGCCTTAGTACTTCTTTTTATTTTGTATACTGGAATGCGTTTTCAGTTTTGAGTATGCAGTGTAAAACATCTCAATTACAAAAAAACTGTGTACTTGTTGCTTTTGGCTGATACCGTACAGCTACAGAATTTGATGTACTCCCACTTTTAAGTCTAAAACTTATCTTTGACTAACAAACAGAAGTAGCCTAAGCAGCTTCCTGATCATATTTTTAATGAACAGAAAACAAAACAAATACAAAATATCACTCCAAGGCCAAGGTTTATTCTGCATGACCATCCAAAGCAAACACCAGCCAAGCTTTTTAGATGCCTTAAGTAGTGCAATAAAAAATAAAAGTGTTTATCAGAATATTTTTTAATTGCCTAATATACGATTAAGACCTGCCCTTTTTAGATTTACATCTAATGTGTGACGCAGTTATACTATGGTGGATCACTCTTTTGTGAAAAAAGTCAACTTTGAATACAATAAAATAACCTATGAATATAAATACAGTAGTTTAAGTAAACATTTAGTGCACTCAATGCCAAATCCTGGTGTCAACACCATGTGGTGATATAAGGCCGCCATTTGGATTAGCTAGTTAGTTGCAGACGGCCATTCTGTGTGATCAGCTGCTTGTCTGAACAGAAAGTTAAGTGGTGTGGTCCGATCCCTTTAAGAGTCTGCTTGTCCCTGATTCTATGGTAAAAGGGATACATGGTCATCCCTCCTTTGATTCGCACAAGTGTCACCTGAACTTTATTTTAGCATTGCTGTGCAACGTGCATGCTCATGCGCACACTGTCACACACAAGGCAGTCCCTATGTACTGGCATCAGGGTGCACAACGTGGATTTACTCTACTGATGCATCCTTGTTGTGTGTGTTTGTGAAATAAATACTTTAACTGAGCCATGAAAAAAAAATATACGTGTATCAGAGACACCTGCAGTACTAACAACACCCCTGAACGAAGTTGCATGTTCTCCCTCTGTTGTTCTGTTAATTCTAACCTGCATACTTTCCCATTCCCTCACACTACAGCACGTACCAGACTCTTCGGCTCGTTCATAAGAGTCGTCAACACTCCACGTTTGCTTTTGCGGAATGTCGCAGTGTCTGATCTGCTCGGTCGTCCTGGTGACGGCGCGTGTGGGCAGGGGAGCTGAGTGTGGGCGGTGCTGTGGAATGAGCTGAGGCAGGGTTAATGCTGGAGAGTTGCTTTTGAGGGCGTGACTTTTCAACGTGTCCCTGCCCCTCTAGGGCACTTTCACAAAGCTCCAGCAGTGACAGCACCTGCTCCCTCAAAGGTAATGCCTTAAATCTGCGAGCCGCCAAGTAGAAAAACGCCTCCACAAACGCCTGCAGACCCATCCCTGATCAGAGACAGAGAAACACAGAGGGCATCATGTAGTTTTTCATCAATCTTAACTGCATTTAGAAACTTAGATTTCCAAGTAGTGACAAATTATCCATTGAACTTGAGTTCTAGTGTTCTATTGAACTGTTGATTTTCTGAGTGAAATACGTTAACATTCAACACATTCAACTTAAATGTGGCATTTAATATATATTTTACATTTTAATATATTTTAGTGCATGAAGTGACTTGTTGAGATTAACATAATAGAAAAGAAACGTTAAATATAAAATATCCCATAACATGTTTTTCCCTCCAAAACATTACATTTAGCAAATAAACAGTAATTCTGCAGGAGTGTGTTCTCTGTAGAGGAGGTATTAACCTGTTTTTTACTTAAAAAAATCAACAAAACATTGACTAGGGGAGCCCAATTTTTGGCATATAAATGTAACTGCCAGTTCCATCACGGACATCGTGTTGAAAGATTTTTCACATAAAATTTGTGCATA